AATTAACTGCAGGAAACCCTGTAAGATTTAATTGGACATGAAGTGATTGGATAGAAATGTGATGTTGTAAGCAAAAATATTCTCGAAATTGGTACTGCATTTGTTTTTTTTTATAAAATACAGTTGACTCTCGGTAACTCGAAATCCAAGGGACTGGGCATTTTACTTCGAGAGAAACGGAATTTGAGTAACATGTATATACATGTGCCTGATTGAATGCGCAAAGAAGTAGGTTTGTTATTGTTGATAGCGTCAATGATGCAATATTTAACCGTTGAAATGACGGTAAATCACTTAAAACTACAATATATAAATGAACAAAATATATTATTCAAAATTTAATACATGTATATTAATAGTGGAACATAAACACAAACATGACATAAATGCAAGTTTGTCAGTATTCATCAGTAAAGCACGTGTTTTAATAAGCACTCATGACAATTCATTACAATAAAAGCACAATAACACATTCAGTTCAACTACAATTTGTCTAATATTTGAAGTGAATTGATCATCGGACGAAAACCAAAGTAGCAACTATTGGTTACCACTTTACACCGAAATTATAAATTATTACAGTAGTAATCATTATCGGTTGTGATAAAGGAGGCTTAACAATTTAAATACCCAATAAACTCTCAAAAAATGCTATGATTTTCTTTTCTCGGAAGCTGTCCAATTTCCAAACATATAGTTGTACAGAATGATTAGTATAAAATTTGAGATAGTTTGTATATAACATAAAGCTAATTAAGAAATTATATTATAAATTTATATGTACAATAATTTACAGATAGAGAGAGATATGATGATATGGAATAATAAAAAGTTCCAGGCCAAACCGGTGTTCACTCGAACCAAAGAGGATAGTCTCATCAGTAAACACAGACGATGGTACTCCCAGTTTTACTCAGAACACAGCCCGAGGTTGAACTTTCAGAAGGATACTCTCGACTGGTGATGTCACGTGATTGTATGTCTGTCTGTAAGGATATGTGACGCCCCTATAACTGATCATGTTATAGTTGAACATATGAGATGATAAAAATGTCTATGTATGGCCGAATTAATTGATGAACTGTTTTGTTTCTTACTACTTTATCCTAACTCTTTAACATGTTCATATTTTAATTGAATAAAATTGAATCAAATTGTGTGTTGCATCTTTTTGTAGCTTCCTTTAAAAAACTAATGATTTTAAAAAGAAAACGGTGATATATAGCCATGTTTATCTACATACTATCAAACGATCTGGAAGACTAGTTGCCGAGGAAACGTAATGATTGCTGTTTTTTTTAAGTAAAATAGTTAAAAAGGATTTTCCTAGAAGATGTAAGTAAAAAATAAAGGACTATGTAGTATAAAAACGTACGGTTGTTTGAAAGTTTAAAATTCTTTTTAATTTCAAATTCAATGAAACGTTTTCATAAAATCATTCAAATATGTTGGCAAAATTTGTATTGACGGCTTTTTTCTTTTTAGTTCTGACGATTAAGATGTTTGTGCCTTTTTTATTGATTTCAGATGACATATTTTATTTCTATAAGATTTTATTTCTATAAGTTTAATGTAACTGTTAAGTGACAGCAGGAAAATTGAAATAAACACACATTTTGTGTTGTATATATGACACCGAGCAAACAGACACAAATGAGAATCCAGATTTTATTCAATAAAAACAGTACACATCAAAGCAATCATCAAATGTACATTATAACAATATGAAATGGAAGACTCGGATTATGTTGCCAAAGGAAAGATAACAAATGTTAAACCTTATAGGCAAAACTATTGAAGTTATCTCCCTTTGAAGCGGAAACTTTTTTTAAAACCTTTATTAGCACTTAAAATACAGCTCATTTTGGATCAACACAGAAAAAGGATTTAATTTTTGTTAGGTCCAAAACGAGATTTTTTTTAACAAGATGTTTTACTGACCTTCTTACCTTCTCATACATTAGTATATAATGGAAAAAAAAAGCTTTTCTATTTTTATTTACCTTTGGGAAGCCAAACATGCTTTTGAAAAAAAAAACTTTTAAAACTGTATACTAGTACATGTCTTTTTTAAGTAGCATGCCTCCGGGTTCATGATAATTTTCATGAAAACTTTGGAAATGTATTTAACATAAAATATTGTGAAGTGAACAAAAGATATTAATTTACACATTGCAAATGAAGCTTACAATCCACGTAAATTACCAAATAAGGAAAACAGCCCTTGTTGCGTAAATAATGCAGCAGTAATATTTTAGTATCATGACATTTTACTGCAAACATAAATACAATGTATACATCACTTTTTGTACCAATATATCTACACAACATACAAAAAGGTTGGGCACGATTTTTAGCCAGTTCGAGTGAAAAACGTTGCAACGCTTTTCAATTTTTGGTCACTTTGCACAATGAAAATAATTATTCTGGGAAAACCGGGCGAGGGTAATTTTGTACACAAGTTCAGGCCCAGTCCCTACATCAAACGGTGCAGAAACCTGGAATAAATATTTACATTCCCTTCATGTTAGATACATCAGTAGAGTCCCTTTAAAGTAAGTTCAAAATGGAAATAAACAGTTGTTTTCTAAATGAATTGAAATTCATTATTTTAAAACTTCATTACAATGATATCCCAACACATTAACATAAACAATGTACAAAAATATATTGCAGTGTAATTAACAAATTGAAAAGATAAATATCAGAACACGCGTGCATGACTAGGTAAATTCTCCCGGCTTAATTAACCTTGTTTTACACTATAATGAAATGTTAATGAGAAATATATACAGTACGAAACCTTGACAACGTGGCGCTTCACAACTTTATGGATTAGTTCAAAGTAGAAGAAAAATAAAAACAATGTATGTATACACATTCAAAGTAACTGGCAGTATTGAAAAGTAGTTCTTAACTAATTAGTGACTACAGATTGTGTTGGTAATGTCAGAGACATAGATTAGTATGTCTCTGGTAATGTTAATACATGCAGATTCTTTTTTAAGTTAATGGACCATGCAGACATCTGTACAGAAACTGCCGTATTGTACGAAATCATCACGTGCATGAAAATAAAATTTAAATTTATAAGCCTGAGAATTATTGCACAATGTCCCTATAAGTTCATTGGTATTTTAGTCAGCTCAGTACTTCATGACGTCACTTTAATTTCTTACTTTAAAAACAAGTGCGAGTCACGTAGTTTTGGTGCTCAATTATGCTATATAGGGTAACGGCTTATCACGGTGATTGCTCAACCTTGTCAAAAGCCGAAGAAGATCCACCTATGCTGATTGGGGAGGTCATTGTTGAAGATACAGGCGACATATCTCGTGACGTCAAGCATGGCGAAATTCTCCCAGAATTCCTTTGTATTTCACCTATTTCCTGTGGGACGGGAAGTACTGGAAAACGAAGAAGCATTTGCCTTGAAGTTTGCAAGAAACTCATCCTCTGCTGTCGACGCCATTTTGCCCGTCTATTTGAGAACCATACCTAAAATAGAAGTTTAAAACATTTTAAACCTTCCTTCAATTAGACCACAATGGAAATAAGAGATTAAGTTCTCTTTCTTGTGTTATCCTAGGTATGATGTCTTTGATATGGTTTCGTTTCTTATACATGTTATATTGTTTTTATTGTTTTATCATGTATTGTATATTTTTTACCATGTTATTATTTAATACTGAAATAAATCCATCAATGTAAATCACGACAAGAGGTTTGTTATAATGCCAGATAATTTGCCCAATGCGCTGTTTAAAGATATACGGCTGCAAGCTAATTACATACATTATTGTACCCAATAAACATCTGCTCACAATAAAAGTTAAAACATTACAAAGAATAGAAAGTATCTAAATTAAATTAACCATTTGAACTTTCTAAACGTTTTATTTTCAGGCGGAAATTATAATTCAATTAAAATAAATATACCTGCACTCTAGCCTCAGATAGGCTTGTTTTAGTAGCTAGATCTTCCCTGGTGTTAACCCCTGGGTAATGTGACCTTTCAAATTCTTGTTCAAGGACGTCTAATTGTTCTTGGGTGAAGGTCGTTCGATTTCTACGAAGCTTTGGAAGGGTCATATCATCCGACTTTGGCGATTCATAAATTTCGTCATCAACTAAAATAAAGGTCATTTACTTTAATAAGTATTCGGGGTTTAAACAAAACAAATCTTCTGACATTGTATTGATAAGAGAGACTATCGGTCTATCACCTTGGCTTGTTATCTTATCTAAATATTGGCATACGCAGTCCAGTCAATGTAAAAAACCCATAATTACAATAAGGATTATTAAGATAGCTTTAATTTTCTTCTATATAGTACTTATTCATTTCGACGTTATTATGGATAACGAATGATAAACAGAAATAGTTAACCACTCTAGAAATACTGAACTCTACCTGAAACATTTGTTTCATCGTCTGACTTTGATAGCTGTTCATCACTGTTGGCGGAGGAATCAGGAACTCTAACTGCGCATGTGTAGTCACGTGTTGACGGCATGGACCATAAGTGAGGGTATAAGTGCATGAATGACCTTGATGCTATTTTTGTATATTCAACGGCAGCACGCTCAGCAGCCCTGTTACGCAATATCCGGTTGATAGAGCTCACACTTGGGACATTACTAGACGTACAAACACCTGAAGGGGGAAAAGGTAAATTAAACACATATGTCAGAATGAAAGCATCAAATAACATATTTTTGAGATGATAACATAATGAAATAATAGTATAAGGCATTACTTAAGTTTATAGCTTTATAATTATGCAGTTTGCAATGTTCTGCATCTTTTATTTGATCTGCACCACATTTTACAAAGGCTGAATAATTTTGAAATAAAAAGGTTAATGTAATACTAGATATGCTGCAGTTATATAGAATAAAATAAAGTGCATGTAATACCATCAGTTAGCAGTTTGTCTCTTATTTCCCAGGCGAATATCGTCGGGTTTTCCCGCTTGTATAATTCAATCTTCTCTACCACACCAGGTGTCGCCACCTTAGGCTTACTTCCGCCAATGGCGCTTCTACGAAGTTGCATCACCGGATCATAGAAGCGACCTGGAAAATGTTGGTATATATATTTATTGCAAACCATATTGTCTGCGTCTTGAGAGAATTATTTAATCGTTTCCCGAAGGAAGGTGCAAGATCAAGATTAATTAGAAATGCTTTCAGTTTAACATAAATAAAGATTCATTAATATTTTTACCCATGAGTCTGTCCATATAGTTTCCGGTTCCATTACTTAAAGAGGCATAAGGATTGTTTAGGTACGGACTATGAGCATATGTCGGCATCTGTGACGTAGACAGTGGAAGATGTGGCACATCACAACAAAGTCCTGGGATCTGACTTAACTCTGGATAGCGGTTCATCTCTTCACACGTTTGTTTGTTTTTTTCTACCTGCAGATATTTATAGAATATATTTCAGTACATGTGTTGTTTCTTTTTTCAACATCCGTTTTAGGTATCATTAAAATATACGGTAGGTTACCGACATGAATTCTTTGAAACAGCTTTCCGGCATCTGTCCTGAATTATCAACAACCACATACGAATTAAATCAAAATGATGGTTATGACAGAATTATCTATGTCTCTGGTGATGTTGATGATGATGATGATGATGATGGTGATGATGATGATGGTAATTTTTATTTTCTTTATATACTTACATATATTGTTTAGTTAAATACGTATTTACATTGACTCTGAGACAAACCTTTTTTATTATATCAATCAATCTGTGATTAGATTCCATGATTTGATTACTTCTTTTGCATAAAAACGAGATCGTTAAATTGTTCAAATATACAAAAGAGGCCTAGAAAGAGGCATTAATAATTCGAAATTCATTTAAAGTAACATTACCTAAAATTATGTAATACTTAGTTATTACCGGACTGTATTTGTAATATGTTAATATATATGTATTATATAATTGAACTTTTGTAACATGTTCTCGATATGTGACATGTCTATCATTGATGTGTATGTTTTAGATGATATACCGGTACATGTCTAATAAAATGTATGCTTTATTGAAATATATAGAGGATATTTGTTTGTTTGTGTGTAAGATGAAATTTTATTTCATCGAGTGGGCTTTAAAAACAGTATTCTCACGAGTGGCGTAGCCACGAGTGAGAATACTGTTTTTAAAGTTCACGAGATGAAATAAAATTACATCTTACACAACAAACAAACAAATTTTCTTTTTATTTTATGCTAAAAAACAAGTTTAAACGAAATTTCCATAATATTAACATAAATATTAAAATCTGTTTCCCCATTGAGAGCCCCATTTCGTGCGAAATTTCTCATTAAAAACAAGAAGTCTTGAGCTGAAAAATAAGTCGACAATCAACATTAAATGACAGTGATATTATTTATTTTGTTTAAAAAATATGAATGATCGCTTGTTTTAATAATAAAAACAAACAAGTCGTGTAGGAGAAAATTCCAACCATCCATCCATATTTCTGTTACCTACTGCGAATTTATATTAGACCTGGCTTTGTTAAATGTAAGCGGCAGCCATTTTTTTTAAAGTTGTGTATTTCACGGGAGGAAAATAATTTGTGTTTGATTCAGAGGGATATCATTTGGAATTGTTAGTCATACACCTTTTTAAAAGAAAGAAAACATATTTGAGGATTGAAACAGACAAAAAATTAAGTGTTGACAGATGTGAAAACATGAAAAAAAGCAGCTATGAAAATGGAAGACTTGGAACTTGATCGGAACGCTGGGTTGGTTTACTTGTTCTACGAGCTGTAGCTGTCATTGCTTTTCAATTTTTCATAAAGCATACGGCAGTTATTACTGGTAGGATACTTAATATGCCAAATGTCATCAAGAGCAGTTTGCATGTGGAAGGAATGTATTTTTCAGACTGTAAAAATGAAACAAAAAATTTAGAGACGAAATTTTGGTGATTGGAATTTGAATGAATAGAAGTAAGTTTTCTTCTTTTTATTACTTTTGACGTTTAAGGTATTTATCAATTTCAGCTTTCCTTTTTCTTTAAACAGCCTGACATTGTCAGAATTGTCAGCAAAAATAAAATTGAGGTACCACATGGGGAAAATCTTAAAAAAGTAGTTTCGTCATTGAAAAAAGTGAAATTATATTTTGATAATTTTCACTGTGAAATTACTAAATATAATTTTCACGGATAAATCAGTAATCCACTGAAAAGCATAAAATAAATAATAACATTTCACTTGCTGATTTTGATATTTTTATCGGCAGAATATCTGTGTACATATTAACATACAATTTTCAACATACAATTTTCTTAACAGTTTCAACAATAGCCACATTGAAATGGGTAATCTAATAAAAATAAAATAAAAGTCTGTTATTTAATTTTTGCTTACTGGTGCATACATTAGTTAAAAAATTCAGTCTTTTTTATGCAAATTATTTTTAAAATTAGCAAGACATTTGGTAAAATGAATTAATACATAAAAAGTATAACTGATTCCAGACATATAGATCTATTCTTAATAATATATCTAACTTTATCGATTTATCGACCTATCCCAATGTATGAGAACTAACTTAAAAATAGTACTTCAGTGCCTTTAGTTTCGATTTCGTTAAAGCTATATTAAATGTGAAATGTTTATAATTATTTTAGGGCCAAGTATTTGCCTTTTTTTTATTTTTCAATTTTATTGTTAGATTAAAAAATAAATAAATGAAAAAGAATGTGTGCCATAGAAAGAAAGACTTAATGAAATCAATTACATATATGCTTATAAAGCGAATACGTATAACAACCAACATTTTATCGCTTTAAAGGGAGACAGGCAAAATTTTCATCTCTTCGTTTTGAATTTTTCATTCATTTTTCTGTAAATGTAAAAATGAATACACTAGGCAGTCACAGGACCAAAAATTTTCTCCTTATAAAGAATAAAATGGTAGTTTCCTAACTTGACCCACGTCGGTCAAGTTAGACTGTTACGATTTCACAGTAGTTGTCACAGTGAACTCTAGAAACGTTAAAGAACATGTCAAATGAATGGCTTAGACTTTTGTTTCAATCATACAATATCCACTATATATGTTATTATAACTTCCATGTCTTGTTCAAGTCACATGACTAGTTTTAAAACTACTCAGCGTCAAGATTTCGTTCAACACCCCAAAATATATAGAATTTAGACAGAATATCATACTGGGACTTCCAAAAATGTCATTTTAGCGTGATTTAAGTTCATAAGATCATTTAAATATGTTTGACATTAATTTGCCTGACTATCGCTTTAGCAAGCAATTGAGATTCACTATATATGATTTTTGTTTCTGTTATCATATATTTTTGCTGTGATGTAATTGCTTAATATTTAAATTGTATTATATTTTGTATTTTTATTCTGTAAATACTGTAATGCTCTTCATCTTTCGATGAAATAAAAATATCTATCAGTCTGTTGTTTCTACTACGTATAAAATAATGCTGGCTAACTCGAAGGAGGACACTGCCATTTTCGCACAAATGTCGTTTTCCTTGTACAAAAAATGAATATTTCATTACTTAAAAACTTAATCAAAACTTCCAAAAAAGCTGTTTTACATTTTAATATAATCAAGATCACTTAAACGCCAGCTATTTCAATAGCGATTTAAAAAAATTTCGAGAGAGAGAAAAAATAACTTTAGACGCCGAAGTCCATTGAGAAAAATAATAATATCTGATAAACAGGCGTTGTGACAAATGCATCCTTTAATAAAAAGATTTGTCATCAGATTATATTATTATGAATTAAAATTAACATGGTATGATGGCTCGATGATCATTTAATAAACATTTTGAGGAGATAACATTATCTGTCCGGTCGTGTGAAACTATTCGTAACTTTTAAGGATGAAGATTCAGATTAAACATAATTATAATCAGCATACAATTTTCTCCCAAAACAATTTTTAAACCATTTATTATTAATTATATGAATATTTTTTTTGTATTCTTTACACTGATGGGAAACTTGAAATTAATTATAACCGTGCAACAAAAGGAAGGGAAGCTTTTTACCATTTACGTTACGTACAAACATGTGTCGCTAAAAAAAGATTTTTGATACACGTCCGTATAAAATAAGTTCGTAAAGTATAATAACAAACATAATCTTAATTTTTTCAAACTAAATAAAATATCAATCAAAGTACATATCAAAATAAAAAAGAATATGCACAAAATATCAGTCACATATCAGTAATATATACATGGGAAAATATCATACACATACATGTGTATACATATTTAACATATCAGTCATATATTCATGGAAAAAAATATCATTCATTTTAACAGGTTTCCTGCAAAAATTACAGATAATACAGAATTACTAAATAGAATCAATTAACTGAATATGTAATATTAGTTTTATTTACCGTTAAAAACGTAAAGGTTAATGTCGTTCAAATTTATTATATGCATTAAATTCAATTTGAAATCATTTTTGCTGAAAACTCAATTAAAAAATTAAATGCTCTTTTATACTTTTTTCTTTTAAGCCAGGGGATTGTCAAAAGGAATAAATATAATTATGATGTCCACTTAAAATTGTCACCCATTAAATTTCATTATCGAAATTTAGAATCACATTAAGCTGGCGACGACAAGGATTTCTGGTCCATTTTAGATACACCACCCTACAGAAGTATAATGACTTCACCAAAATTGTTTCATTTTTAAAATAGTTCAACTTGATATTAAAATCATACTACAGTCCTGAATACTAAAATGTTGTGTTTGTTTTCTTCGTTCATTTGTTTAATTGTTCGTTTATTTTTAGTGTGTTTTTTAAAGATGATCTTTTATATCAGGGTATTTCAAATAGATTCTATTTGAAATACCCTTGTTTTGTAGAAAAAGATATCTTTAATTTATTAATTCACTCACCAAATGATTTAAGTGTTCACATATCAATAACTAGAAATTAATTCAGATTTAATCATTCTAATATATGTCATACCTAATTTTGTTAAACTTAGTGCACTCACACTGATTTAAAATCTGCCTGTTTTGATTTCTTTGGTTTTTGTTGTTGTTGCTTTATAAAGATGAAATTATAAAATCACAGAGGTAAACTAGATTTTACGAATAACGTGGACAATCGTGAGTGCAAAATAAATAAAATATTCTTAGAATATACTGAAACTATCATTGTTATCAGGAAGATAATGTGTAAAAACAACAACAACAATAACGACAACAAAAGAAAATCGTAAAATACCTAAGTGAAATAAATTGAAACTATATTTATGTAGAACATTTTTATATAATAAGGTATTTGAAGAAAAACACGAGATTGTGACATAAAACACTGAATATATAATTTTGTTGCTGTAACTAACAACCTTACGATGATACCTGACCCACATCCTTGATCGAAACCTTTTTTTGACAATGAACCGCTATGCCATAAGTTCGAATCCCGCCAGGGTGAAAGCTATACTAGTGACAAAATTAATCTATGTAAGATTCGACGGTGAACCATGCAGTCGATATTTCTAGATAAATAATCATTTTCGCATTTACTTTATGTATCTATATTAATAATTCCTAGATATTACAATATTAGATAATTTAAAAGTGTACAGAATATTGTCAATTACATGGTATATAGGGATAATTATGTTTAATTTGCATTATTGTCTAACAATGCCTGTATAGTTTAACTTTTATAGAAATAAATCTGTTCATAAAAAATTATCAAGAACCATTGTTACAATTATGCTACACATATATTTTTTACTTTATTTTCCTATTTATTTTTTTACTATTTTGTATTAGTCAGCATTTAAAATAATGGTATACATTCAATAATAAAAATGTACTTACAATTTTAGCACCGCCGACACCTTTCAGTAAAATTATTTTTATTTCTAAAATTGTGATTGCTTGTTGGTAAACTCTGCGTTAACTGACCAGTGTCTGCAAATTAATCCAATTATACCATTTTATATCACCCCCTCAATCATATCACTTAATTATTATTCGATAATCTAGTAAAAATAAAAGAAGCCGCCCTTGTCGGCACCGCCTTTGATGTAATTACCCAGCTTCAGATCAATGTACCGTTAGCCAATGGGAAAGACGCAATGTAACGGTGACACCTGAAGTAGAAACGTATTAGTGTATTGATTTTAATTAAGTTTAATCTACATTCAGCATCAATTAACTAAGCGCCGCCTACCAATTACCAATGCCACGGGAAAAATGAAAATGGCGAAAGAGAAATGTAAAAAACCTTTAAACATTTTAATTTGGATATAAGAATTAAACGCCGCCTTTCAGTTAGTTGATACATATATTTGCTTTATATTTTCAGTAAAGTTTGGTGTATTAGTTATTAGATAAATAAAACATATTAGCATGTTGTCGTTTAATTCTGATTATGCAAAACTGGTTTCTCTCTTAAATTACTGTTCTTGTTTATTTGTGACTTTCATGTGTAACTACTACAGATGTTAATATGTAGGCTAGAAGTGATGTTAGAAATTGCTTTATGCTGAATAAATGTTGTTTTTGCTGCTGCTGCTGCTGCTGCTGTTGTTGTTGTTGTTGTTGTTAAATTTGAGGTAACTTTAAAGACAGGGGGAATACATGCATTTATTGCATGTTTAAACGTAAGCTGTAAGCATGAAATGTTCTAAAATGTAACACTTTTGTCAAATGTATATAGATATGATATATTTCAAGTATTTTTTCTCTTAAGAATATTATAGAAATAATCAGTGTGTTATGATCAAATAATAAAGCTATTATAGATATTTTAGGTCGACATTGCTTAATACATTATTTTAATTAGGAAAATATTTTGATACTCTGGTTCGAGATTTTAGTAGGGTATCACCTGTTTATTAAGTCAATCAATACACAATTTATATTGTACGATATTTTCCAATTATGAATTTACCAGAATATTTTTATGTATCTGATGGTTTTAAACAACAAGCGAAGTGACTCATACCACTACTTTTTAATTCTTTTCGTGAATGATATTAATGAAACTTTGAACGGACAGATATTTGAATGTGTTGAGAATGTACACATATTATAATAAAATCGTTTATTAGCTATATAATAAAGCTATTATTCCTGAAAGTCTATAGTACAGCTATACACGATTCAAGCTTATTCTACAAAATGTAAGAGCTAAGATTTAATGTAAATAAAGCAAATAATAATCGTATTGTTATTTTTAGATAAAAATAACGATACAACATTAAAGAACTTAATTTTGTTTCATCATTGTTTAACAGAGTAAGCTTAAATATTAAAACTAAATTAGCACTTTTTGATTTTATGGTTGTACCAATAATTTTGTATTGTATAAATGTATAGGGAATTTATGACTTTAAAGAAGCAGATAAACTTCGCATTAAATTTTGTAAAAATTGTTAAACCAACAGACTGAATCAAATGCGGAAGTGTTTTGATAGATAGGTAGATGCCCTGTCTATGTAATTTGCAAGGAGATGTCATTTTGGTATTGGCTGAATTAAAAATAGCAAACAATCAGTTTTGAATATGAATATCATTTTTCGTTTAATGTCCTATACTTGTATATTTAGGATTGAGGAAAATATGTCGGTAACAGTTCATGACCAAAGAGGCAAAAATTTCTAAATTTAATAATAAATATGTTATAGTAACTATCATTTTTATCATTATCAAATGTCTGTAATCGTTATTTCTATTGCAACCATTTCTCTCATTAACATGTATTTTGAAAAAAGTGCCATTTATTTGTACCCAGAATTGCGAAGAGGGAAAAATCTATGTAGAAGGGTAAACGACCATACTTACTTTTTTGTATATATTGTATATATATTTTTTTGCCAATTTATGTATATAAATATCTGGAACCAAAGTGATCCCCCGGAAGCATTAATCACAACAAAATTACAAGAGAATTGCAGACTCGGTTTGATTGAGTCTGTACATGATGGATAATGAATACGTGCATCATCCCTCACGCCCCCTAGCACCGGCTTGAGCGGTACTCAATTCTCAACACTTAATAGTGCTGGCATCAATGATCCCGAAGGACCAGAAAAATATAAGTACGTTTCTCGTACTCGTATGTTTATATTTATATAGACATATCTTCCAAAATTAATATTGCGTCAGCTAGGTAAAACAGGAAAAATGCTAAAACATGTCAATATATTATATGTAAAATGCTAAACAAGTCAATACATCTAGTCAATACATCTAGTGTAACCTGCTAAGAAAGACAATGTATATGGTATAAAATGCTAAAAGCAGTAAATACACTCGGTTAATAAATCTCAAGCATGTAATTGTCAGGAGAGAACTAAAAACAATATTCAATTAAGAAACTATATTGTTTATTTTCTTTAAAGATATAATCTTATTTTTTTTCAATTTTTATGATGTTACTGTACTATTTATTTAAGAATAGTAGACAATTATGTTTGCCATGGGTTGGACATGGCTGACTTTACAACCCCAATGAAACATGAATTAAAATTTATAATATGAGCCGCGCCATGACAAAACCAACATAGTGCGTTTGCGACCAGCATGGATCCAGACCAGCCTGCGCATCCGCGCAGTCTGATCAGGCTCCATGCTGTTCGCTTACAAGCCATATAACAAGTAGAGAAACTGATAGCGAACAGCATGGATCCTGATCAGACTGCTTGGATACGCAGGCTGGTCTGGATCCATGCTGGTCGCAAATCCATTATGTTGGTTTTGTCGTGACGCGGCTCATATAATCTTTTCTGGTACTGCACTGATCCCCAAAATGGCTTAAGCCGGGACAGTATGGCAGAGACCAACGATTCTGTAAAATCGGAACAATAACATGAACAATGAAATAGAACATGCCGGATAATCGGACACTATAGTCACATTACAATAATACCATGCTAAAACTAGTAAATATATTCGGTGAACAATTCTAAAACAGTTATTTTCATTCGGTTTAAAATGCATATAATTCAGTTCTGAAAAGCGAGACTCTTGTTATAGCTACCACTATCTATGACAGAAACCTTTAAAAGTGACAAGATCTGATTCTATTCTAATAATATGCTAAAACGTGACAACAACATAACACCGCGAAACAGATAAATATTTTTGTATTGTACATGGCATCAAATCAACAACTGTTTAATGTGAACATTTCCATTTTAATGAATAACCTCTTGATCCAGTGTGTTTCATAATGAGGATATGTTTCAGATAATAAAGCAATATATTATCTTAAAATACGTCTGCCGATAAAAATATTTTACCGATGTTTTGCTGGAGAAGTTAAGAAATTAAAAATCAGTTGTTTAATGGTAAACATGAACAGGAATCGGTTTAATAATGTGAACTGTTTGTTATATCTGTCTGCCCGTCTGTCAAATGCGATGCATTAGTATATAAAGAAAATATTTTGAATTCTACATGATCGCAACATGTTCACAGATGAAAACATTTATGAGCATGCAAGCAACCTGTCCTGTTTGCTTCCGGTTCGCTGCCGAGGGTATATAACGCCCGAACATGAAATGATACATGGAGAGGCTTTCCAAAAGTAAAGGTAGACAATAGTCATACTAATAATATGTAAGTATATGTATAATGGTATGGCTCTTAAACCAAATTGAAATATATTATTTCGTGTTTCAATTTGTTTCATATAAAAAAATGCTACAACAGTGCCTTAAAGATATACTATGTTCATCCTTGAGTAAAATATTGATTACAGCAATTAATTGAAATATATAAAATTATTACTGATCATGTCTGATTTGAATAAAAGAATAAAAAAATACATGTATGTATTGGAAGCTACGTTCCCTGTCACAGGTCAATTAAAGGTAGTTTCTTTTTTTAAGCCAGTTTTTTAATGGTACTATATATACATATTGTGATCACCTTTTGTGTTTAGGATTTTAAACATAACGTACTTTCAGTGAAATCATTTTTTTATATTTACAAAGAGACTGTGAAGCAATTATCCATATTTTCTAATATCAAATTTGAGCTTATTGTATCTTTAAATGAAAATGCAATAATCATAACATTTCAAAAAAACTGATAATTCTTTATTTGTAACGTTGTAGTGATGTTTTAATCGTATGGCTTAACGTTACCGCTCAACAATATCTTCCCGATTTAGTAAATACGTAAATTATTTGTGTAAACAAATATTAATGAAATTACAGCAATTCTAAACTAACTTTACAATCTTTTTTGATGATGATTTATCGCCAAAAATGTATTTATGCCACATATTACATCTGAATGTTCTCTCATAGAATCTCCAATCTTTTGAAATGTAAATCAGGTATATAATATTAATTAATGGGTATACGTAAGAATGAAGTGAAATATAAAGTGAAAATGATTTTAGTTAAAGGCCCATTATGCCCTAGAAATGCCTTTGTTTTGATTTCGCATTTTTTAAAAAGTTTTGATGCGACGTTAGAGTTTCCAAAAAGTTACTCATAAGCCAATTTCCTGAACCATCTTTTGCTTCTTTTGTCTTTTTACAATGAACACAGTTATAGTGGTTTAGTATTTTGTATTGAAGTCAAAATTTGTATTGAAGTCAAAATATAACTTTGTTAACATTTTGCTACTTTTATGACATATGATTTCCGATCTACAAGTGATAAGTTAACCTGATAACTAACTATTTGATTAAGAGGTTAACTAGTTACGTAACTAGTTAACCTGATAACTAACTATTTGATTAAGAGGTTAACTAGTTACGTAACTAGTTAACCTGATAACTAACTATTTGATTAAGAGGTTAACTAGTTACGTAACTAGTTAACCTGATAACTAACTAGTTAATTAAGAGATAATTAAGAGATTAACTAGTTACGTAACTAGTTAACCTGATAACTAACTAGTTAATTAAGAGATTAACTAGTTACGTAACTAGTTAACCTGATAACTAACTAATTAATTAAGAGATTAACTAGTTACGTAACTAGTTAACCTGATAACTAACTAGTTAATTAAGAGATTAACTAGTTACGTAACTAGTTAACCTGATAACTAACTATTTAATTAAGAGGTTAACTAGTTACGTAACTAGTTAACCTGATAACTAACTAGTTAAT